ACTGCGTCAGGGCAAGCTTGAAAACGAGGAGCATTTACTAATGTTCAAAATGGCAGCGTTCATGAATGCCATTCAAAAGGAAAAGCTTTATGCCTTTCGGAGGGAATCTCAAGAAACCCGATGCAGGCAGTTGTACCAATTTGAGAGTGGCAGAGCAATTTCCTTCAAGGTTTTTGCCATCAAAATTACTGCCATCGTGTTTATCCGCCATGCTGAAGTCTCACGATACAGCACAGTACTACACTATGCGTCTGTACGTGCAGACAACGGAAGTCCTATTGTTCAAAACCATTCGGCTGTGCAATCAGCCACAGGCATAAAGCATCTGCTAATATTTAAACAAGTAGATGCTGAGTAGTAAAAGAAACATTTTATTCGCACAATTTCAAGCATTTGCTCATTCTTCATGGTTTTACTTCTCAGTAAATGCTTTTGCTGTTTGCTTGAACTTCATAGCATTTGGTAGGTTTTATTCATACGTCTCAATGTCGTCGGGTAATCTGCAAATTTAAGTGTAGGTTCGGCCTATCGGTGCGCAGATGGCCCGTACTGTCCATCACTCTCAAGTTTTATATCATGACATTACTATGTATCACTCTGCGCAGCGGAGTGACAGTTTAGAACTATAGTTCATTCTTATTCACTCCGTTCAACCGAACAAAATTAAAGTTTCTATGGAGGTTGTCGCCCCTGAGGGCCCGACGGGCCAACAAGGCTAAACGGGCTGTCCGGCTTTCAGGGTCTGGGCGAGAGTGGCTGATGGGGCCCCTCATAATAGGGCTGGATCCTATCCGCTCCGAGCAAAACAAAAGAGGGCTTGTTTTTTGGGTACTCACAATGATCTCCTTTATAATGGAGTAATGGAGATCAATGGGTACTCATCGTATAGGCGCGCCACGAGGCGCGCAGGTGTATGCGCATTTGAAGCGGAGCACCCTGCGTACGCGTTACTAATTTACTCCGGCATGTATGGTCTTTGCGTACACGCACAACGCGTGCAAGAACCTACTTGTAATCACCGGTCTTTCTCTTCGCCGATTGGGGGTGCACTTCGGCTCTGGG